GCAGGGTACCTCCTGGGACGAGATATTTTGCTTCACAGAAAATGGGATTTGAGAACTGAAAACAAAGATGATTGATTAAATCGAGTTAGAGCTTCTCTCAGAAAGATCAGAAGGCTCTTATGTTTGTGCTCCATGTAGCTTTTAATTGTTATTTGGAGAGAATTTCAAGAAAATTGTATTCTCCATAGTGTACTTCAAATAGCTATTGCTATTTGTATTGATTAGCAATACTGTGTGCTTAACAGTATCTCCTGTTTTTCACATTTTATTGATGATTGAGTTAATATTGCACCTCAGTTTTTATAACAATAAATGTTCTGTAACCAAATCTTTCAATCTGCTGTTGATTGTAAGAAAAACCTAAGAGGGCAGAGAAGAGATGATAGATGGAAGTTCCAGATGTACAATTCCGCCATGGCAGCTTTTATTGTTTGTTGCCTTGCATTTGATCTGATTATTATTTAAAAGAAAATCCTCTTAAAAAAAAAATGCAGTTTGGTGTTAAATGTATGCTTTCAAATAACTTCTGAGTTTAGTAGGATTTTGTTTGCTGAAAGTTGTGAGGTAAAATCTAATGGGTCTTGTGTCTTTTTCCTACTTTCCTTTTTCTTGCTGCATTTTTTGGTTAACACTACAGGTTAGTTTAGGTCTTTTTCCAGTTCAGATTTTCAGAGTTGGACAAAATAGCTTCTAATTTATTTCTTTTATGCTCGGATAAATTTTAAATGCTCATAATGGCTATAAATTGTTATCTATGTGTTTGGGGAAGCGAGCCAAAAATTAGTGTTTAGCAAGTGAAGCCGTGTCTAACATCTTCTTATTCTTTAATTTACTTTTTACTGATGGTAAAAAATTTAACAATTTCTGCTTCATACTTGGAATAAAATCAGCAATTACTTTAATTTCCTTTCTGTCATGCATCCAGCAGAAGGAGGGGAGTAGCTTCTCCTTTGGTTCTGTTAACCTAACTACATTTAGATGTCATTTCACCCTTTATATCTACCCTGAGTTTGTAGGGTTCCTGTTGGGTAATTTCCCTTTCTCAAAGGGTAGGAGTTGTTTGGTTTTTTTTTTTTTTTCTTTATTTAGTATTTGTCTTTCAGGTACCGTGTGTGTGGTATGCTAAATTTAATCTGATTTAAAAGAAGTTTATCACCTGTAAAAACCTTCATCAGCTCTGATTGATGTAGGGAAGTTGCTGTTTTAAAATAATTTTTTCTTGCTGCCTTCTGTCTGTGGCCGATAGAAAAAACCTTTGGAAGGAATTTCACTGGGGAATAATTATATCTGCAGGAGATGTTTCTGTTTAATTACTATCAGGTAGTGATTGGTTTATGACCCTGTCAGGCTTGTAAGATGCTTTTAAAATACACTGTATAAAATCCTATATAACTCTTTCAGTTGTATATATATAATTGTCTCTATATCTTACTTAAACTTTGTTCTAGTGTCTTCTGTTGATGAATTCCTCAGTTTATGTGATTTATGTGGTGTCTTGTATGTTTAGTGTTATTCTTCAATTTATTGACTATTCTTCTGGGGTTTTCTTTGTTGTTAAAGCATAAATGGGATGATCTACTTTTTGTATGTATCATACATTAAATTGTATTTCTGTCATGTCCTTTTATGTTCATTTCATTTTGAGGTAGAAAAAAAAAATCTGTCCTTTTTTACTTGTGTCAGGTGATAGCATTCGAAGTCTTTAATCACTGGTTGCCTGTCTTTGCAATCCTTCTGCTTTTACAATATCCTTTTGTGATTGTTTTTCTCAAATCGAACTGTCGTGATCACAAATACCATTACTTTTTTTTTTTCTCCTTGCTTATTGTACCGCATTCTTGATACGTCAAGTACTGAGGATAATCAGAAAGTTTTTTATGGATCTTTTTTAATTATTTTTTTCCACCAAACTGTTTGGGTAGTGGTCAATTCTTTTTTTTTTTTTATTTTTTTATTTTTTTATTTTCTGGATTAGTTACAGTAGTAGTTCTTCTTTCTGAAAAAAGAGTGGTTCAAAATTCAGTGCAATTGCTGTATATTTATCCATGTTGAATCCTGGCACCATTCTTACTTTTTTCTTCTACAATTTTCAGTAATTAATCTTGCAACATTTTCGGATGTTGGTATTTACTAACAAATATTTTCAGGGAACCTCTGTATGTTCCTTCCTTCTTTGAACTTCATGCAAGGTTATTGCTTATTTCTTCCCTTGCAGCCGTTTCTGATCAGTTGAAGCGTACACCTCTGGACAACATATTTCTGCAAAGGCTTTGTCAAAAACTTGCATTAAGAAGTTTTTGTTAAATATGCAGTTAAGTGGTTTAATTTGTATTTTTTAACATTTCTAATAGATCAGAAAGATTTGAGTTCCTTATCTTGATACTTTACTGACTTATCTTTATCATCCTTTGAGTTTCATAATACTCTAATTATTTTATCATTTACTTGTAGCTTGGGGAACATGGCTTACAGATTTATGATTCCTAGAATGGTACATTGTTTACTTCCTGTTCATCTTATGGGGTAGTTTAATGAAAAATTGAATGTTTTTCGCAGCTTAGATCTTTTTCTTGCCATGTTTTCAAGAATCTGTAATGGATTCACACAGGTCTTCAGGCTCTTTCCGTATCCAGAAGCTCCTCTTGCTAAATTATTTTCTGGTCGTGCTTTTTGGGGTGTTTTTAATCACCCCCTCAGTTCTCTCAGTTCTCTGTAGTTTGTGAAGTCTCATGTGGTTTTGTTTTTTTTTTTTTAACCTAATGGGATTTTAAAAATCCTTGTACTTTTTTCCCCTGTCCTTGAATGTCTGCACTCTGAGTGCTGTTTGTCACTGAGTGTTTGTCTTGAATAGTAGTTGTTTTGAAAACTGCCAGAATAAATTTCAGAGTTGGAATATGTCGTTTTGTCTCAAATAACCCTTTGGAGATTTATTTTTTTCTTTGTGTCCATCTTTCCATGCAAAAGGGCATGCCTGTGCTGGTGCAATTACACTTACAGAACAGCTAAAACCTGACTATGATCTAATATTTTTTAGTACTTCATAGTAATTTTCATTATCAGCATATTCTCTGAACATTGGGTTTACTAATGATTTATACTTGGAATCCAGGTAGTTTGTTTTAATTCTGAAAATATTTCAACTTGGATGAGTTTTTGGCTTTGCTTTCTGCTGACATGGGGCTGTTGTTAATACTCTGAGCTCTAGCTGCTCATGTGGAGGTACCAACAGTGTAGGTTTTGCTGGTATTCCAAAACACACTTTCTAAATAAAACTTAAAAACAGTCTCTTTGTTTTCTTTCTTGTATGTTTCTCTGTTTTACATGATTTCTGTTAGATACAGAAGCAGGATGAGAGCTCTTGAAGGTGAAGGGAAAGAAGACTTATCTGCAGCATTCTTACTTTGGTTGCTTACTAGTGGAGGAAGATCAAGCAAAACTGAGGAGTGTTTTACTCACAGTGTTCAGGGAGTAGAGCTGCCTTTCACTTTTACCTCTTCTACCTTCTGCCATTTCTGCTGTAGGATGAGGAAGACTTGCTTATAAAAGGTCCTTGTGGAGGAAGGAAAGGAATTCAGCAAGAGAAGTCATCTACTTGCTTACATTTTCCTTCATCCCTTTCCTTTCTCCTGCTGAGAAAAGCCTTCACTAATTTCTTGAGGAATTTCTAAAAATATTGCAGGGAAAATAATACCTGCTTGAGATATTTGAGGAAATGTTGAGAAAACAAATAAGTACCGTTCCCCTCCTCCCTCTGTCAAGTGAGTATGTGTCTGTGTACTACCCTGATGCTACCATCTCCAGGGCTCAAGAGGGGTCCTGCCTTATGTTCATTTGGAAAGTGTTCCTCTTTTCTCCTGTATTACTAGTTTGTCTTTACAAACCTCCTGATGAGTAGGTGTAGGTATAATGGGGGCTGGGCTAGACAGGAACTTGGGATTTATCCCCTCGGCTCTTTCTCTGAAGAGAAATGTGAGAAAATACACACATGGTTGTCTCACAGGAAGAGTTTTGCGTGGATAGTTACGGCCTTTTAGAGAGTCCTCAAAAGCCAAAGACCCAGGCTTTTGCCCTCACAGAGATGTTTTTTATTCTCTGAAAGCATTTGGCTAAGGTATGTGAGGAGGATTGTGCAGTCTCGCAGGTGTTTTTACTAGGAAAGCAAAGCTGGCTACCAGCAGTTTCTGTGTCTCCTTACATTGCTGTGAGTAGAACCTACTGGTAAATTCCCCCTTGTATTTATTGTTTTTCTTGCTCTCCCTCTTTGAACTCTCAAGGTTATTCAGTTATTGTCCTCACAATTTCATTAGGAAATTTGCCAAAAACATCCTTTCTAGGCAGCTGTCTCTGGACCTTTGGAGGCCAGCACTAATGTGCTCTCAGTCTGTAGGGGGTGTTTGGCACGGAATTATGAACTAGGCCTTCAGCGCTTCGGGGGAGAGATGGGAAGAGATCGCAAACGCTTTACCACACCCAGGTGCAAATCTTTGCTAGTCTGTGAGCATTCAGAGGCTTTCTTCTTGTGTTGTACCTGTTTTGTCCCGGTGCAAGTTCTGTTAGCAGCAACAAATTGTTGGTGCGAGAGGATTACAACAAAGAGCTGTTTTTCTGCTCAACAAATGTTGCTTTGAAGGAAAGCTTGTGTGTGTGTGGGAGGGAGTGACCCCAGCAATCTTAAACTGTTCAGATATAATTTTTTAATGTGGCATTGATTTGTATTTTTATGTTTGAAAGCAGTGCTTGAAGGTGCTGTGATGTTGCCTCCATGTAATACTTCATGTAAAATTGATTGGAATATTAAACATTTTGCCAAAATTAATACTGGGAGGAGTTAACCGTATCAGTGCGAGAAACGCATTTCAGTGCTTTCTTTCATA